TAGACTTATATTTATTTTCACGTGTAATAATATTGATCAAGATAATATGCAAATTATAGTATTGGATTTATTRGATATTCAACCAAAAAACAATTTCTAAAATGTTTGGTTTCAGAGTAGCGTAGGCGATAACAAATTTTAACTTACGATAAACATTCATGGTAACTGACGTCGATAGCTGAATGATATTTGGCATGTTTGACGCTTCGCAGATAAGTTTTTTACCGAGACTTTCACGACGAACGTGATCAATTCGTAACACATTGGCCACAGTATTTTCGYCTGTCTTAATGTCGTAAGTACTGTCTATATTTTCTCCTCGAATATTCCACGTTAAGCGTGGTAAAGGATTTCCTGCATAAAAAATAAATATGTAATACAATTAAAATAAATAAACATTTTTATTTAATTATTAATATCAACATTAATGATTCATGACGTATTATTTTGAGTTTTAATTTCGGTTCAGGTTATGTTCAACACATGTAAGACTAAAAATAATGTCTTGTACCTACTCAAGTGTTTATTTAGGCACATTATAAAGTCAATGGTCAACTGCACTGACTGATTTTAGTCAACTACACAATGCTAGTTGATTTTACGAATACCTTGGTATACCTACCAATATAACATTATAAGCTGAAAACAACTGTATGTAAATCAACGAATGTATACAATTTATAAACTAAGATTATAGTATAGAAGGTGCTTACTTATTTATAGTTGGCATTATTTCAGTGTTATTGTAACGTCGAGTATGTACAATAAACTTGGGATTGTTTTCCTTTTAGTGCAGGCAAGGGTTTAACATTTAAATTAGCACTTTTTAAGAGACTTTTTTGTCTGATTCATTTTTCTAATATTATGTATATTTGGTGTTTTTTAAATACAATAAACATAAAAATACGTTTGGCACATTTTATATAATTAAATTAACTAAGGCGATGTTAACTTGTGAACAATATTGCATATTTATATAATATAATATAAATCAACCACACATTTTATCGTCAAATTATTTATGCATGATGACACGGCTTATTATATATACGAGTTCACCAATGTTCACACAGATATTTTGTAGGTAGTAGGTACCTATTGTATTCAGTTAAAATAATATGCAAGTACATTGTATTAAATTATATTATAATTATATTATTATTGTATTAAACAACCGCGAAACACGGGTTATTATATAATTTTATTTCGCCAGTTACAGAATAATTACGTTACGTTATTAATWAAATACCATTAATATTTTTAAAAATATTATCAAGTTTAATTTTTCCTATGGAATTTAAACATAAAATTAGGCGTATTTAGCATAATATTTTGACATTTTTATTTTGTCAACACAATAATGATGGATAACCGGAAATGATATTTTTTACAAACAATATTATTATAACATGAAATTATTTATGTCGATAAAATATAAACAGTATCGACGAMAATATTACAGTTTTCATTGACATTGTATTCTATAAAATACATTATTTATGTATTATTTGTGTACATGAATACATCAATTTACAACTCCCAAGTCATGATTCCCGAAGGTACCAGTTAATGTATGATAGATAGTAACCATGTGCATTTAAATTATATATCTAAGTATGAATGTATAGGACGGCGACATATTAATAAAATCGTTAGAACTAATCTTCTTTTTGATCACAAAATCTACTTATTCGTGGTACTTTTGAATTTGTTTAAGATATATATATATATA